AGGAAAGGAAATCGTGGCGTTGATGCCATTTTTCAGAGCAGGTTACAAAGCCTGGATGCCTCAGGAAAGCATCAGTGGCACCACAGAGATCCAAGGACTGCCCCAAAAATCCCTTCATTCAGCAAAATCCCATTTTTGCACCTCCCTGACAGGACCTCCTGGCACCCCACGGATTTATCCATGCAATAAATGGATATTTATCCATGCAATAAATGGATATTTATCCATTTGCTGAGGAAAAAGGGCTGATTGAGGGGCTGTGGCCCAGGGAAATAAGCGGGGTCTGTGGGGCTGGCCCTGTTAAATCAATATTTTCCCGGCTCTGAGCAGCTCCAGTCGTGTGCCTGGTGTTTGTGTTGGCCTGGGAAGGGGCTGGGAGCAGTTGGGATTTTCAGGGAACACAGGGAGCCACAGATGCCAGAGCAGGGCTGTGCAGCTGAGCATGCCCGGGACAATGAGGGCTCTTTGTGTGGGCACCCAGCCAGGAGAAAGACGAGAAAAAAAAAATGAATGAAATATCTGAGGTGAGAAAATCCATCTCAACATTCCAGACATCGGAGGTAAATCCAAACTTTGAGCATCTTTTGGGAATGTTGCAAAACCCTTCCTGCTTCCAAAGCCTCTTCATCCTGAGAGCAAACCTGGAGCCGCCATAGAAACTGGGTAGAACCTTCACTCATCCATGGGGAAAAAATCTAGAAATCTGAAAAATCTAAAAAGTAAATCTAAGAAATTAATAAAAACTACACAGCAAAGGAATGCACTCCCTGATTTTAGTTTTGAAATGAAAACTACACAACAAACGAATGCACTCCCTGATTTTGGTTTTCATATAAACACTACCCAGCAAAATAATGCACTCTCTAATTTTGGTTTTGAAATAAAATCATACAAAGGACTTGATTATTCTCTGATTTTGGCTTTGAAATAAAATCTTACAACACAGCAATGCATTCCTTTGTTGAGTGATTTTAATTTATTTCAAAAGCAAAATTGAGGAATGCATTCCCTGATCTTGGTTTTGAAATAAAATCTTACAACAGAGGAATGCATTTCTCAGTTTTGGTTTTGACATAAATAAAAATCACTCATGAAGGAATGCACTCCTTGATTTTAGTTTTGAAATAAAATCATACAAAGGACTTCATTCTCTGATTTTTGTTTTGAAATAAAATCACTCAAAAAAGGAATGCATTCCTTGATTTTGGTTTTGAAATAAAATCATACAAAGGATTTCATTCCCTGATTTTGGTTTTGAAAATTAAAGCATTCAACAAAGGAATGCATTCCTCAATTTTGGCTTTGACATAAATAAAAATCATTCAATGAAGGGCTGCATTCCTTGATTTTGGTTTTAAAATACATCAAAATCATACAACAAAGGAAAGCATTCCTCCATTTTGATTTTGAAATAAATTAAAATCATACAACAAGGAATGCACTTCCCGATTTTGGTTTTGAAATAAATCAAAATCACAAAGAATATTTTATTCCCCTTAATTTCTGCTTTCTTATCCCTGTGGTGCTGGAGGCCTTTATGACTCCAAAGTCAAATAAAGAATATCGGAATATTTGCCCACCTGCCACCCCTGGCAGTGTCCAAGGCCAGGCTGGAGCTCCTGGCACAGTGGAAGGGAGATGAACCCAAAGGTGCCCCCAGCCCACCTCACCCCATGGATTCAGGATCACTCATGGGTGCAGAGTGGAATTGCCCTAATGGTGCCATGGCAGCATCACCCTGCCCTTGGAAGATTTTTTCCAAGGAATTTCGAACAGCTGATCCTGTTCCTACTGGAGTCCCCCCGCCCCAGCCCCACACTGGCCTTGGAAGATTTTTTTCCAAGGAATTTTGAATAACAGATCCTGTCAGAGCCCTACAGGGAGCAAAAACCCAGCCCCACACTGCCCTTGGGATATTTTTTCCAAGGAATTTCAAACAACTGATCCTGTTTCCACTGGAGTCCCACAGCCCCAGCCACACACCGCCCTTGGAATAATTTTTCATAGAATTTTGAACTGGTTCTGCCCCCACAGGTAATGCAGGGCCAGCCCCACACTGCCCTGAGCTGGGAGGCTGCAGGGAGAGAATTCCATGGGATTTTACCCATGGAAAAGGAGAGGGAGTGGCGCTGGGATTAAAGGATGGGGGTCCTGATGGCTTTTTAGGGTTTTATTATCCTACTCCATCCCTCCTGTTACAACCCCAGCACAAAAACCCACTGAAATTCCAGCATTTTGTGAGTAGAGCTGTGGAAAATTCCAATTAATCCATGTGCCAGGTCAGGGAGATTCCTGCCAGCTGGGGCTCTGGGTTATCTTCACTCCAGCTGCACACTCCATGCTTTAAAATCCAGAGATTTTAAAGCTTTAAATGCATCCACACAAAACTCTCCACTCCCCACTGGCTTATCTGGCCCACCTGGAGGGCTCGGGAAATAAAATGGTTTCCAGATCACAAGCAGCACTTTCTGTCCAAGTACCTGCAAGATTCTGGTTTTCTCCATGGGGCTGAAGGTGAAAAATCAGTTCTCTGAGCCACTGAAGCAATAAAAGAATAAAATCCCTCTCTAGTGGAGTTTCCTGAGGCGCCAGCAGGGTTTAGCCCCGGTTTTAATGAACGTTGGGAGTGTCAGGGTGGAGAATTCTGCTCCCATCAGAGAGGACACAGCCACTCACCCCATGAAAGATCTCACCTGCTGCTCAATAATCTCATTTATTTGGGCACTTTACAGCAGAGCACTTTGCTGTGGGTTTTTCACCCTTTTTGTCCTTCTAGACAGGAATGGACAGGGATAATTTGGGGATATGAGAGGGATTTTCCTTGGTAACTCACACAGAGGAGCAAAGGCAGGGATTTGGATAAACCATACAGAGACACAGCTCCCACTGTGCCTGAGTGTTGGATTAGACTTTTTTCTGACCCAGAGATGGGGTAACTGAGAGGTGTTTTAAAAATTTTATTCTATTTTCAGTCTCATGTGAAGGGTGTGACAATACAGATGTTATAATTCACACCATCACAATCAGAAGCCAACTATTTCCTAATTAATAAATATAAGTGTTTCTTGGCTTATCAGCTTTAGCCACACCATGCTGTAAATGCCTTAAAGCCAATCATCTAAAATTACCCCTCGTGGGTCCCACTACAATGCATCTTTCACAGTTCTATTTCTCCAAAGTATCCAGCCTTATTTGCAAGGCCATCCTTTGAAACTTGCTCCCAGTTCCATTTCTCACTCAACAGTGTCTGCCCTATTCCATGGCATTTCTACGTCAGCATTTTTTATCTCAAAGTTGTCCATATCCAAGGAGAGCCCAACAGGGCAGATCTGGGAGAGAATAAAAGCTGAATTTCCTGGGGAAGCCTCACTTCAGAGCCTTTTACCTTGAGGACGAGCACAGCCACGAAGGCGATGGTGAAGGTGATCATCACTTTGACATATTCCCCTGCTGGCAGCTTCTGCAGGGCTGGCAGAGAGCCCTGGGGGAAAAGAGAGAAGGTCTCAGCCCAGAACACTCAGGTCTCAGCCCAAACCACTCAGGTCTCAACCCAAACCACTCGGGTCTCAGCCCAAAACATTCGTTCCCTCTGCCAGGGGCACCTACAGAGACGGGTTCAAGGTTCAGGCAGAGCAGGGAATGAGGGATTTTCACTGGCAGCAGGATCACAGGGATATTGTTTTCCTCCTGTTGTTTCCACTCCTTAGGCAAAGCCATGTTTAAATGAACTTTTAAAATTTTAATTTCCACTTTTGCCACCAGCCTGCTCTTTTCTCTGGAGGGAAAATCTCAGGACCGTGATCCCAGAGCCTTAAATCAGTATCTCCATCCTTCCCTAGGAATGTGATGATTCCATCTGTTCATAACAACACTGAAGTGGGACTTATTAAATGTGACTGTTTAATAAAGGTGAAATTTGAGGCATTTTCCATGCCAGCAGCTCCACAATTTGCATCCATCAGATTCCTACAAGAAGAAACAAGGTGTATTTTTAAGGAACATGGGAGCTGTCAGTCAGGAGCAATGCTGGGAGAACACAGAAAATCCTCTTTGTTGTCAGACTGAGCCATTCTGGATGTTCCAGAGGAGCTGCACAGCCATGGAATGGGAATTTATAGGAGTTCCAGGGTGGGAAATGAGCAGAGCTGGCTCCAGACCTACCCCACTCTCCACAGGCTTGAGGCTGAGGAAGGTGGGCACCTCCATGTAGGAGCTGCACAGGGTGAGGATGCTCAGGCAGAAGTCCAGCAGCTGCAGCGCCAGCAGGGGAGTCCTGGAGTGGCCCTGCTGAGGGGACAGGAGCTGGGTTACAATCACAGCACTGGGTCACTTCTGCAGATCATTCACACTTTACACAGAGTTGTGGTTGGTTCACAGGGAGTCTAAACTACTAAATTCTCTTAATTTCAGCCCAAACCTCCCCTTCTGCTGGCCCAAAGAGTGCGCAAACTGTTTGTGGGTCTTCATCTGAGCTCCACAGAAGCCTCTGGCCAGGGCAGTGACAATCTCAGTTTATCTCCAGTGATGCCTTGTGAAGGCTGACCTGGAACAGAGGCTGGACAGAGCTAAAGAATAAAGCAGGGATTCATTAAAAGGCCTCAATGGATCTACCTTGGGCAGCACAACCCAAAATGGCTACAAAAATGGATGAGCTCACAGGGTCTCTCACTTTTATAAGTTCTAATCCATTTGCATATTGGAGTTAATTGGAGTTAGCCCGTTCAGTCCCACCCTGCTTGTTTTTCTCTCTCCAGCCCACGGTGTTTGTGCTCTTGGGCTGAGATTTGGATCATTTGTCCTTGGTCCCCAGCTAGAGCAGGAATTGTTTTGTCTCCCTGCTTTGTGCACAGACCTCACCTTCCCCCAATATGAAGCTCAGACCCACACACTAAAGCAGCACAAAACCTGAAAATAGAAAAGCTAAACCTGAGGTATCACCAGCAAACCCCTCCTGTCAGGGGCACACCCAGAGCCACCTCCCTCAAAGCCAGGAGGAAATCAACATTTCAAGACAGGGGAAGATGAATATCCCAGCTGCCACTGGTTTCCTTCAGCCTCCAAGGATTGCATCCTGTCTGGCCAGGAGAAACCACCTCACATCTGGATTCAGGATCCTGAAGGTCTTTTCCAAACTAAAGGATTCCATGACAAACCTTTATTACAACCTTCAAGGATTCTAAAGGTCTTTTCCATCATAAATGATTCCATAAAGAATTGCAGTCCAAGATAATGATCCTTTATTCCAACCTAAAGGATTCCATGCAGAACCCCAGCCCAAGGCAATGGCCCTCATTCCAACCTTCCAGGATCCTAAAGGTCTTTTCCATCCTAAAGATTCCATGAAGAGCCACAGTCCCAGGGTAACCATCCTTTACTCCAACCTTCCAGGACTCTAAATGTATTTTCCTTCCTAAAGGATTCCATGACAAACCACTGCTCAAGGTAACAATCCTTCATTCCTACCTTCCAAGATCTTAAAGGTCTTTTCCATCCTAAAGGATTCCATGAAGAGCCACAGCTCCAGGTAACCATCCTTTATTCCAGCCTTCCAGGACCCTAAATGTATTTTCCTTCCTAAAAGATTCCATGACAAACCACTGCCCAAGGTAATGATCCTTCATTCCAACCTTCCAGAATCCTTAAGGTGTTTTCCACCCTAAATTATTCCATGAAGAATTGCAGCCCAAGATAACGATCCTTTATTCCGAACTAAATGATTTCATGAAGAACCACAGCACAGGGTGGTGATCCTTCATTCCAACCTTCCAGGATCCCACAGGTCTTTTCCATTCTAAAGGATTCCATGCAGAACCACAGCCCAGGGTAACCATCCTTTATTCCTATCTTCCAGGACCCTTAATGTATTTTCCAAACTAAAGGATTCCATGACAAACCACAGCCTGGGGTAAAGATCCTTCATTCTAGCCTCAATGATTCCATGAAGAACCACCTCCAAGGGAAGGATCCTCCATTCCATGCACTCCCCATCTCAGGAAAGCCAGGAGTCCCCAGCAGGTGAAGAAATTTTGCTTCTTTTCTGACAAGGTTAGGGTTAAATTGTGAGATGGTATTTCTCATTTGGACTCCAATATTTGTTAGTTCTTATCTCTGTCACAGTCCCGCAAACCCTGAGTTCTGCAGCACCTCACTCTGACACACTGAAAATGGAGCCCCATCTCTCTCTCTACAAGGCCTTTGAAGGATAAACTGTCAAATTAAGAAATGACACCTGAATTATTTTTACCTTTAACCCAATAACCAACCACCCATGCCCACAGTGGGGACTTTTTATCCAATTACACAAAACCACCCAAACCCATGAAGAAGGAGGAGGAGAAGGAGAAGGAGAAGGAGAAGGAGAAGGAGAAGGAGAAGGAGAAGGAGAAGGAGAAGGAGAAGGAGAAGGAGAAGGAGAAGGAGAAGGAG